TTCTCCTGGAAAACAAGGTGAAAAGGCAGCAATGCCATAAAGTGTTTTTATGTTTGTTACAGAAAGGAAAATTGTTCATTGGTCTCACATTCTTCAATTATGTTTATTTTACATTATGGTAACTGTTTATGCAAAATGTTGCATTTATTGCACCTAAATTTACAGCAATAATATCTTCTTTGATAATTTCTAAATAGTGCTTGGACTTCTAACATTATTGTTAAATAATGTCAACTGAGCATGAAGGCCATCACTGAAAACGTGAATCACCCCAGAGAATAAGAACTTGGCACATCTTTTTTTCTAAATAATCTCTGGCAAATGCTTATTGAGTCTTTCCTGGAAATCCTCAGGAACACAAATTGTTTAATATCCAATCACTTGGCTGCATGGGAATGCCATGAATTCATCAATAATAGGATCTCCATAGTATTTTTTTTCTTGAATAGGAATATCACCATAACCCAGTGGTATCAAATTCAAGGCCTGCAGGCCAGATCTGGCCAACAATGTGATTAGATTTGGCCCATGGGGCCACCCTGGAAACAGTGAAGGACCGGTCCATAGAACCTCGGCCCTGGCCCAGGCCGGCCAGCCTCTGATCTACAACTTCGTGGAAGCCATCTGGGCCAGAACGCGGTCAGCCTTAGATCCGTGGGGCTGCCCTGAAGCCAGCAAGGGGTCATCCCCGCCCCCTGGGCACAGGCACAGGAGGTGGAAAGTGTATGGGGCCTGGCATCCCTGGGCATGCGCACAGGAGGCAGCAAGCATCTGGCCTGAATGCATTCTGAGCACTTCTGTTTCACTCAGGATGCCAACCCTGCACACTCACCACCTCCTGTGTGCATTCTCAGGGGGTGGGGCCAAGGCAGCAGGAGTGGCCCCTTGCTGGCTTCAGGGCAGCCCCACAGGTCAGATCTAAGGCTGACCATGTTCCAGCCCAGATGGCTGTCACAAGCTGTAAATCAGGCCCTTTGAGAGCAATCATAATGCTGATCTGGCCCTCAATGAGTTTGACACCCCTGCTGTAACCATACCAGATAATCAAGTCTATTGATTTTAATTCCTATCTTTCATTTTAATGATATTATTAAGGATAGTGAGTAATTATTAATCTAATTTTTTTCTCTAAATTGTATGCTGTTTCAACATTAGTTAGCACTTTGATTATTGTCTTTTCTCTCCTTTCCCTTCAATCCCATCCGATTCTTGGATACTGCTTTGACAAATCCCTGCATTTTCTTTGCAAGATTTCAGAAGTGGTTTTCCCTTGCCTCCTTCCTAGGGTTGAGAGAAAGTGGTTGGTCCAAAATTAACCAGCTAGCTTTGTGCCTAAAACAGGCCTAGAACTCACAATCTCCTGGTTTCTAGCTTGATGCCTAACTTCTACGTTAAACTGAAGTGTTATATGTATAAAAGCAGACCAGCAGTATATTAGCTTGCACAAGAAATGTATACACTGTTTATTCTCAGGAATTCCCATCATAAATTTCTTTGTTTCATGTTATTTTAATGGGATATAGGCAGAAGGGACCAACAAATCAATCTAGAGAAGTAAAAACCTGAAATTGCAGAATTGTACAATAACACACTATCCAATTCATTCTTCAATACTGATTTGCAAAGCAAGACAGCAGCAAAGCCAGATGAGAAAAACAATCAGCATTTCTGTAAGGACTGACACATTCAAATCAATACAATACATTATAGTTTGGCAGAGAGTCACAACAGAGGCAGAATATAAATTCATGGATAATCAATACTATGATGGAGAAATGAGTTGTGTTTTAAATCAACACATAGGAAATGGGCTTAGAATTGGATTTATATGCTCATAACTATGAACATGACTTCTCAACTAAATCAGAGATGAGACTGATGCTATAATGTCAGACACTTCAAACTTTATATATTGATATGTTTTGAATGAAAGAGCAGACTAGGATAAAAGAAAGCAGGTTCAAATTCTCTCTTAAATAAACTTAACTCACTGTGTTATTGTGAAATTAAATGAAAAAGTCTGCTACTCTGATCTCCATGAAAGAAAAATCCGATAAAAGGCTTGTTTGACTTTCACCTGCTACTTAATAATCTTAGATCGTTCCGTTGCTAGCCAACCAAAACATCTTTTTTTTTATTTTAACTCTTGAGTTAACATTAAGAGTCGTTGTTACAGAAGGTTTCAAATCTAATCTAAATCTTTACTTTTTTGTTGATCATTTGTTTTCTAGTTGTTCATTATCAAACAAGGTCATATTAATGCCTTTAATGAATAAATAATGCTTACCTAATGCTTTCCGAAAAGTATAATATTTTTGCTAATACATATTACAACACCTGACAAGTATGCCAGCATGAACAACCAATGGTACAATTTTTTGCAGTATCTTTCCATAGAAGCATCAGTATTTTATTGAATTAACTGGTTAACTTATAACAAGTAATGCCAGAATAGCAGATTGTCCACTTTTGCTATACATCACAGTTGTTCAGCATAAATCTCTTAACAATGAATTAAAAAAATACAAGGCTAGCAAAAATTTAACTTGCAAGCTACTTATGTATTAATTTTTTTCCACAGTGCTGCTCTCCAAATGTGGTGCCCTCCAAATGTTGACAGGGAATGTTGGGAATTCCCAGAAAGCCCTAGGATTGTGACAGTGGTGAAATCCAATTTTTTTTACTACCAGTTCTGTGGGCGTGGCTTGGTGGGCATGGTGTGGCTTGGCGGGCATAGCAGGGGAAGGATACTGCAAAATCTCCATCCCCACCACACTCCAGGGGAAGGATACTCAAAATCTCCATTCCCACCCCACTCCAAGGGGAAGGATATTGCAAAATCTCCATTCCCACCCCACTATGGAGCCAGCCAGGGATGGTATTTGCCGGTTCTCCAAACTGCTCAAAATTTCCACTCCGGTTCTCCAGAATCTGTCAGAACCTGCTGGATTTCATCCCTGGATTGCGGCTATCACATATACAGTAGGCATTTCTAAGACAAATGTTCTGGACATTTGCCAAATGCATAGCAGAAATACACCCAATGTAGCCTCTTTATTATTGTATATCCATGGAGGAGAAAGTGATTTTTTACCTGTTATATGTTTCAGATATAGAAACCCAAGTCAAGGTATTGCAGAATGCTACTTAGTTAAGTAAATAACAATCAAGAATTTATAGAGCATCTTTGTAAAGCTAGTCAGATCTGAATAATTAATCAAACAATAAACTTGCTAGCAAATTATTACAATTCAAAAGAAAGGAAGAATAAGAGTGAATGCAGAATTGATAGAAATCAATTAGATTGCACCATTAAATCAGTTTGGAAATTGACAGTGCCATGATAAGTGTGTCCACCTCAGAAATCATTCCCACTGAATTCATTTATTCAAGTCAATGTGGGGTGGGGAATAAGTATGTATGATTATCTTTATTTTAGAGTATTTTAATGCCAACCACACCTTAGTTCTATGCACTCTTAAAATAACAGAGATACAATTAAAGCAGATGGTAAGGCAAGATGAAATACTTAAAACAAACAAGCATAGTTTGAGCCCTCTCCTAATGTGTAATGCTTCAATCCCAAGGATAGATTGTTCTACAGTCTGGGTATGAAAAAATCCATGAAAAAACAGGCTTAACCAGAATCTCAAATAAATCCAGGGAGGGACTTGCAAAAGATGCCCTGATGGCTGAACAAAACACAGGATTGAAAGATTTACAGACAGACATTCTGTTTTTGTTTTTTATTTGGGATTACAATCTCACAATTCTTTTGCAATAATCAGGATTCAGGACCAGTCATTACTTTTTTATTAACAGACCCCATTCAGCTGCTTCCTGGGCTGAGGCAAAATGAAAGAATGGGGTCACTTCCCATATGCTAATTAAAAAAAGATTTGTCTATGATGTTTCTGAATCCTGATTATTACAAAGGAATCGTGATCTCAAACTAAAAACCAAAACAGAGTATCTGCTTGTAACTCTTTCAACTAGAGGCTTGTATATTGTTCAGCCACCAAGATATTTTATACAAGTCTACTTTTTTCACCAAATGATAAGTAAAGTTTTAGAAGCAATTTGTAACCTTCCATTGACCCTTCTGTTATATTTATCCACTTATTTATTTTGTCATCACTGAATAATGCTGCCACTTAGCTGAAACAACACAAAACTAAAGGAACTTAGTGTCTATGATCCAGCTTTTCTGGTGAAGAAGTGGATGGCTTGCATTCTCAACAAACTCAAAAGGCATCTGAAGAACTGGTTCCATTAACTCCACTAGACAAATAAAGACATGGAGCCGAAGAGTATGGAACAAAGGGTGGTCCTGCCAGCCTAGATGTTTGTGGCTTATGATTAGTATCTAGAGATCAGATGGATAGCATTTATAGAAAAGGATTTGGGGGTGGAGGTGGAGGTGTACAGTACAAGCAAATATACTTCGAACTTTGGCCTTAGTTCTGCCAGCACATAGTATGTAGATATGTTAGGGATGTTGAGGTGTTGAACCTAAACTGCCTGGGGAATTAGGGGCACCGAATTTAGAAATGGCTCAAGTGGACCAACTTGAAACAAACCATTCCCGTTTTAATCTTTCCAGCTGCGCGGTGATTCAATCCTGGATTCATTGCCTGCGGACAAAGGCGTTCTTGGTGAGAAGGCTGAGGAAAAGAAGCGTGACCAAGAACAGTGTCCGCCTGCCACTCCAGAAGAGAATGGCGTTCAGCTGTGCGCCAGGAGAAAGAGCAGGGCACGGGCGGCGCTCACAGCTGGCCAGTGGCGTCTCTCATGGTAGCGAGACTTCATTTCCTCCCCCACTCCCACTCCGAAATCTAAGAAAAACCCCTTCAGCCCTCCGCCGAAAAGAACCACAAGCCAATTCTGCCAACCTTGGGCCCGATGCCCCAGAATAGTCCGGCGCCCTATCTTGTGTCCGCCAGCGCCTGTCTCGGGCGTATCTGCAGCCCGCTCTCCGGCTGACCTCTCCTCTGACTTACCTGAGATGCCTCCTCCGATCACGATCGCGTCGCACTTGTTGTGGTCGCTGCTCATGATGGCTGGTCACCGTCTCCAACTGTAGCGGTTTTCTTGCTACCGCAGAGGTTCCTCGCCGACTGCCACCCGGACACAGTGACAGGGGCAGCCGTTGTGATGAGCAACACACCCCTTTCGCTAGCTCAGCGGGAGACTCCGCCCGCTGCTGGCAAAGGGCGGCCAAGGCTGTGGCTCAGCCAGTGAGCCTCACCTGAGCGGACGGGGAGCTCAAGAGTTCCCCGGCGGCAGGGATATAGCCGCTGCTTAAGGCAGGAATCACCAGGCAGGAAATGAAGTCGACCGGAGAAGCAGACAACTTAAAGGCTTCATCTGTAGAACGCCCTGGTGCTGTTCAAGGCAGAAATAAGTTCTTAAAATATTCCCTAAAGGAATAATGGGTCCTATACTTGCCAAAAGTACAGTATAGAGATCCAGTCTCTTATATGCTTCTGTTATAGCTACACACACACACACACCAGTGATCCATGCAAAACTTCTCTGCATAGTTTTCCTTCACAATAAGCCTGTCAGTCCAATTTCTATCGTTATTTTATGCTGTCATTCTATTTTGCCCCACTGACCATTGTACACGTGTGCACTGTGCTTCTACTGAAATCCAATGGGCATTCAGTTTCATTTCGGTGCATTCATACTGAACGTAAACATTCTTTACAATACAATGAGTACTTCGCTTGACTTGACTCTCATGGAAGCAGTGGATTGATATATGGTTAATTTATATTTAAAAACGGCTTTCCCAATATATACTTTGGAATATATATTTTTGAGTGTTTTAGTGTAGTAAGCATTGATTTTAAATCCTAATATATAATTGCAAAATAATAATGGAAACAGTCACTTAATTTCCAAAACGAATTTAAATCTGAACAACCACAATCCAAATATTACCTATTGAATCCAGCAAAAATTACCCTTTGGTTTTCTGATTTATACTTGATTTGTTGTTACTATATTATTGGTTCTCTGCCTAGACAGCCAGATGTTTAGACTGGATTTGGCATTTTTATCCACCTATCGAATCCTTCCAAGGATCTGGGATAGGCAGATGTTGATGCTTGCTAGACACAACCATTTTTTTCTAAAGGCAGGATATAACTGATACTGACGATACCAACACTGACAATTGCATTATTGAGACTCATTTTCATCTGCAGACCTTAGACTAAAGCATTTGGGCTCATTTTTTGCTTCTTTTCCATTTCTGGATTTTTGCATTTTGCTCAATTAATTATTCTGATGAAGTTGCATGCTCATTTGTGACCATTTGAATAGCCACCATCCTCATTTTGGATTTTGGAAGATGCAATGCCCTGTGAATATTTACTTCTAGATAAAAACAACAACAATGAAGCATAGCTAGTTATGCACCAGTTGCAACATTCAAATTGAAAGACTTCTGGAAAATTTCAAAACTTGGTGGGGAGAGCAATGTAATAATGATAAATTACTAGAGTTGTAAAATACCTAATTCAGATATAATTTTAATTTTTCAAAATTCCAATATTTGTTTGGAGGCAGCTGGATAATTCTGGGTGGAATTTCCAGTTAAAGGAAAGAAAGATTAATTATCAACAGGAAGAATATACCCCAAAACCCTTATAACAGGAGCTCCATCATCACTGGACCCCAAAGCCTGGTAAAATACTCACTCAGATCTTCAACAGTTTCCTGAACATAATCAGAATGGGAACTGTCGAAGTCTCTGAAAGGATATGTTCCATAAGGCAGGTGCCAGGATAGGGAAGGCATTTTTCCTAGATCCTACCAGTTTATCTACTATTAATCTTCTCATCATTCCTATCACCCATCTCCTCCCACTTATGACTGTATGATACAGCAACCTTGTTGCTGGTATCCTTATGATTTATATTGACTGTTTCCTAGTATGATTTGATTACTTATTTGTACCCTATGACTATTGTTAAGTGTTGTGCCTTATTATTCTTGACGAATGTATCTTTTCTTTTATGTACACTGAGATCATATGCACCAAGACAAATTCCTTGTGTGTCCAATCACACTTGGCCAATAAAGAATTCTATTCTATTCTATGCTATTTAATGGATGGAACTCAAAGCATGCCCACCCTGTCCAGTCTCACCAGTTCGACAGAAACAGCTAGAGATAGATGAACCTCAATAACCTGGCTCTATGGCATGAGGGGCTTTATAGGTGATCTTGAATTGCGTTCAGAAGCCTGTGGTAACTAATGCAGCTTGCAGAGTGTTGATATGGTTATAATGAGGCATGTCTATCACTGTCCATATTGCCACATTCTAGCATACCTGTAGCTTTTTAGTGACCTTCAAGGGCAGTTCTATGATAAATTAAACATTGTTTTCCCAAGAGGTTGTTCTTGAGATTTTAATTTATGACAATTCAGGCACATAACTTTGTTTTATAGTTAGCCATTTACACTTACTATTAATTACTGCAAAATAATGTGAAACTATGAATTAAGAAATCAGCTGTCATGACCAATCTCCACTGATTTCTGTAAGATCAGAGAATTATCCTTCATATCAATTTTACCTAGATTTAGTTTAGATCACTATATTTGTTTTAAGATAGTGACAGTTTCTGAGTGTTTAATGAGTATTAGTATGAGCATAAGCAAAGTGTTCGATGATGATGATTCCCAAACTTGACTCTCTTCACTAAATAACTTCAATGAGAACACCAGATCAAAGGTAACATTCTCCCAGTAGTCATCTTCCATTAATTGGGGGGTGGGGAGAGGAGGAAGAACAGAACTGCAAAACCAATCCAAACATCCTAACCCATGGGTGTCAAACTCAATTTCATTGAGGGCCAGATCAGCATTATGATTGCCCTCAAAGGGCCAGTAGCCGGGTCTCTGTGACTAGGTGGGCGTGACTGACTCAGGATGTCTGGGTCAGGACAGAACAAGTCACAGCAGCTAACTTGATGGGGGACAATTCGGTGCCCCACAAGCTCCTTGCCTCCCCAAACTGCTGGCAGCCAAGTGCATGCACATACACAAACACACACACACACATTCCAAGTTTGGGGACTTTTATTCACAGAGGAAGGAAAGGGCCTTCTCTCCAAGCCCATGCATGATTGGCAGTTTGTAAGCTCAGATGTGGATAAAAGTCTCCAAGTTTGGAATGGTGCGTGGGTGCATATGTGTGCACAGCACACCAAAGGAGATGTTCTTCTCCCAATCACAGAAATCATTAGCATTTCCCTGTCTGATGCTGCCCTCCCAGCAAAGCAGGAGGCAGAGGTCACCGCTAATGTGTGTGGAAGCACGGAAGAGAAAGTTTGCAGGACACAGTTTCCTCTGAGTCCAACTTCTGCCTGGTGCTCCCTGGTCCTGCATAAAAGAAATTGCCCTTCTCGAAAGAGAATCCCCATTTCCAATTGTGTGTGGGAATGATTCTGGCTTGTTGGGGCAGCCTTCCCTCATACAGTTGCCCAGCCACCCCCTCCTCCTCTCCAGAGATCTCTCAAAGGCAGAAGTTGAACTTGGAGGAAACTGCAGCAATGTGTCTTCTGCCTCCTGTGGGGAGCCAGGCAAGGCTGGAAGGGGGGGATCCAGAAGTCTCCAGCAGAAGAACATGAGACAAGGATGGGCATCAAAGTCTAGTCCACCAGAGGAGCCTTGCTTTCCCTCTCAGGCCATGTAGAAGACTCCCTGATGGTGGTGTGGGCTGCCCGGAGCCCTGGGCCCTGGGCAGTGGAGGGCAAGTACCCAGCCCAGCTCCTTGGGCACCGGGACCCCACTGCCAAGCCTACCCTACTTCCCTGAGGAGGTGGCCCGGCTGTGCTTACCTCCTCCTCAAGGCTGCTGCTGCTGTGCTTGCTCTCCTTGGCCAGGTTGCTCATGGTGGGTGCAGGAGGACAAAGAGTATGGGTCAGAGGGAAGCTCATTCCCTCTCCATGCAAGGAGACCCAGCTTTGTAACCAAAGCATCCTCAGTGATAGGATGGGAGACCACCAGGAGGACGGGGCAAGGGAATGACAAAAGGACAGCAGGGCTGCTGGTGGCCAAGTGCTAAGGCAGGATTTCCCTCAGACCCCCCCTCCCTCTTTCCAATCTCTTTCCTTCATTCCTTGCCCTCCACTGCCCAGGGCTCCAGGCAGCCAGCACCACCATCTGGGGCTCATCTGCATGGCCTGAGAGGGACAGTGAGGCTCCTCTGGTGGACTAGGCTTTGCCAGTCATCCTTGTCTCACAGTCCTCTGCTGGAGACCTCCGGATCCCCGCTTCCAGCCTTGCCTGCCCCCCCCCCCACAGGAGGTGGAGGACGACACTGCTATGTGTGGAACTGTGGAGGAGAATGTTTGCAGGAAGCAGTTTCCTCTGAGTTCAACTTCTGCTTTGACAGATCTCTGGAGAGGAGGAGGGGGTGGCAGGGGAACTGTGTGAGGGAAGGCTGCCCCAACAAGCCAGCATCCTTATGTCACATGATTAGAAATCGGGATTCCCTTTCAAGAAGGGGCAGCCTCCCTCATGCAGGACCAGGGAGCATTGCTCCCCTGCCTCCTCCTCTTGCTCTCCAGAGATCTGTCAAGCAGAAGTTGGACTTGGAGGAAACTGCTACCAGCAGTTTTTTCCTCTGCACATCCACATGCAGAAATTTTGCTTGGAGGGGGACACCAGACAGGGAAATGCCAATGATGGTCACAGAGTGGGAGAAGAATGTCTCCTTTGGCATCCTGTGCACACATGCTCACACACACACACACACACACACACACACACACACACACACACACACATATTCCAAGCTTGGAGACTTTTATCTGCACTTACAAACTGCCAATCATTCCTGGGCTTGGGGAGACGACTCTCTCCTTCCTCTGTGGATAAAACTTGTGGGGCGCCGAATTGTCCTCACTTCAAGTTAGCTGGTGTAATTTGTTCTGTCCCAACTCAGCCATTCTGAATCAGCTGCGCCCACTGAGCGACATTGAGCCAGCCACGCCCACCTGTCCAAACCCACCTAGTTGCAGCGACCCAGTTACTGGCCCTTTGAGGGCAACCATAATGCTGATCCAGCCCTCATTGAAATTGAGTCTGACACTTAATAACTGCAGCCAGACTTTTGGTGGCGCAGTATTGGAAGAAGGAAGACGTACCTACCATTGAAGAATGGACATTAAAAGTAGCTAATTTGGCGGAGATGGCTAAAATCTCTGCATATTTGAAGGATCGCTCAAATGAAAGATACATATTGGAATGGAGAAGATGGATTG